GTTAGCAGTCAGATGTCTTAGGCACTACCCCACTGAGCTCTTTATGAGGTTTAAAAGACTTAATTTATGAGAAGTTTCTCAATCTGACTCTGAAACATGGTGCTAACTTATAACGGGGACTTATTTTATTTTACCTATGCATACTGCTTTCTCTAATTTCTGCAAAGAAGAAATTTTTTTGTTCTTTTATGTATTTCAGAGAGGTCAGGACCCTGCCCTATAAGTTCTTTTCAGTCACCAGTACAATTTCTAGATTATTGTGCACTGTCTTATAAAATCCTTTCATATTTCAAGCTAAAGGTGATATGCTGTGGCACCCTTGGTTCTTCCTTATCCTTAGTCATCTTTTAAAATCTTGGTCCTGCTGTCTCATTTTAGATGTTGGATGGATTGAGTTCAGGTAGATTCACTGCTCTCCACAATGTTATATTGTCCTGAACAGAGAATAGAAGGAAAAAACAAAAGTCACAAATTAATCATTTGAGGAATGCGTGCTCATAGATTGGTTACCCTTGTATCGGCAGTTTGTTTGTTATTCCAGTTTTACTGTTTCATTTACCTTTTAAAATTAATTAATTAATCCCTTGAAACACACAAAAAATAGTTGGTAGACTTCCCACATTGACCACTTCTCCAACTTATGTAGAATTTTATATTTATGGGATGTGTAAACTCAGCAAATCTAGAATCCTTTTTTAATATTCTATAAAGAATCTTTGAAAAATAGGCATGCAGAATTTGCTCAAATTCTTTCAATGACAAGGAACTGCTTGTTGGTATGTGAATAAGAAAATCTTTGATTCAGGTGGGCTTTTTATAAAGGTCTTTCTCAGTTATCTGCAATTTTTCTTTTTGACCCCATGTGGAAATACTTTCTGGTGAGTTATAACTCCAGTGCTAGCCTCAATAATTTTAACAGCATTTAAATTCTGACTCTACAGTCTTGGTAGTACTAAAATAAGTTTAGAACTTAAGAATGCTAAGAATATAGCTCACTCCCCCTTCCTAAAGAGTCCTTTTATCCCATGGTATATTTTTGCCACAATCTCAAAAGTTCTATTAGGTCAGTATTTATTTGCCTCAGTTTTGTCCTTCCTACTGAGTCACGCAGGATATCAAATACATAAAACAAGTTTAGCAAACACTAGTGTAACAGATTAATAAAATGTGGACTGCAGTAGGATGTGAAGATGCAGTGATATGTGCAATGAATAGATAGTAAAATGGAGTGTTGGAGGAATATATAATATAGTAGAATATGGTCATATCAGATATGATTTTGCTTTGTATATACTCCAAATCATAGATTTTAAGACTCTCTATGTAAATGTTATAAGCCCCAAGTTTCTCTTTCTCTTTGTGTTTAAATGCAGATATCATTTGTTTTTTTCCAGACTTACTCTGATTTGACTGTCCACTACTCTGTTGAAAAGAAATGGTGATAGTGGACATGCTTTCATTAAATCTAGGAGAAAAGACTTCCATAATTAACCATTGATTACAGTGTTTCTTTTGGAAATATGCTTTATCAGATCAAGGAAATTACCTTTATTACATTTTGTTAAATTTTAGATGAGCATTTACAGTTTTCAAATGCTTTTTGGAGGCTCTTTATGATCTCATGGCTTCACTTGTTACTCTGTAAATGTGTCAAATCACATTAATCAATTTTCAAATATTATATGTGTTCATGATAAATTATCATTTTCATATGTTACTGGATTTGAATTAGTGCTTTAAGAGTTTTTGCACATGTGTTCATGAGGGAGCTTGTTCTGTTATTTCCTTTTTAGTCATGATGTGTTTACCCATCTTTTTGTTTTAATCTATTTGTGTTTTTATATTTGAATCTATATTCTTGTGAGTAACATATAATTGGGCTTTACTTTTTTATTCAGACTTGCAATTTCTGCGTTTTAATTGGGTTGTTTGCATTTAATGTTATTATTAATATGATCAAGATTACTCTAAAAATTAAAGTTTGTCTCCTTAATTTAATGCAGTCTCATTATCATTATATACTTAAAATGAGTTTTCAGGATTCTGTACAATTGCTTTAAGTGACATATTTTTCTCTGTGTAAAGGTATTTCTAAAAATTAATAAGATAAATCATAAAGAGTTCATTTTAGAAACAATTGTTTAAAGAATGCAGCCAATATGTAAGATGAAGTCAGCTTCATTAGTTTAATGACATTTGTCTTCTTAAAGGGTCTCTAAGATATAGCCTCCTTATTCCCAAGTGATTTTACTTACCATAACAAATAAGTCTCAGTTCATGTGACTCTGAGATAGCCCAAGACTGAGCACTGCTGTTTCACTTCACCTGAATGTAAACGCAGAAATCTCTTTTTATATAGGAAGTGTATGTGTATCTGCAGGGTGACAGAAGCCCAAGGGAGAAGCATTTCTAAACCAACTCTTTGTGTTTTCAGCCACCAGAGAGTAGCCATTATGAATAGAGCTTGATAATAAAGTCTTCCAGGGATGCCAAACACAATCATAGGGCAGTGAGAAGTTGAAGAGCCACACACTGTCTGAAAGCAGCTGGCTTGTCAGGACTGCTGTTTGGAGCAGTCTTTCTCTATAGGTATGTTTGGGAACAGAACATTGGAAAACCAAACATAAATGATAATTTGAGTTTGGGCCTTGATGTCATTCACTGTTTGTTTCAGAGAATGTCGTTGCACTCTCTAGATGTTTGTATGTGAGGACCCTGAAGATCATACATATCAGAAGAACATGAATATTAAACATTCACATGTATGTCAGATGAGCTTATGGAAGGCGAGGTCAGGTCTGTCACTGACAGGAGGCTGACTGGAGAGTGGAGTCTGACTTTGAATATTAGAATTATGCTACAAGCATTAGGCTTTGTCTCCAAGAAGAGAGAAATAAAGGAGACCTTGTACTTGATCTTAAAGAGGAGCTTCAATTTTCTGAGGTGACATGACTGACTAAGAGCTTTAGCTCCAAGCAGAGAGATACAAGTACGAAAAGGAACCTATAGAAATCCAGGATGGTCCATGGGAGGAAGATAACTTTCAAATTGGGAGGCCAAGGTTTGGGCAGAATTATATCTACATAACTGAAGATATTTATAGAACCTGCTAATCTGACATTTATAGAACAAAGCTAATCTGAGCAATGGCTGGTCAAACTGAAGCAGCAGCCTTGGATTAAGGTTAGTTTAAATCAGTGGTTAAGGAGCTCTGGTGGCAAAGTGCCTAAGGCATTTGACTGCTAACCAGAAGGTTGTTGATTCAAACCCACGAGCTGCTCTGCCAGAAGGAAGATGGGACAATCTACTTCCCTAAAGATTTACTGGCACTGGGGCACTGTGAGTTGGATTTGACTTGTTGGCAGTGGGTAAATCAGTGATTAGGTCAGTATCACAATTTAGTGTACGCCCATGGTTCTCAAAGAGTTGTGTCTGAAATAGCAGCATCAGCATTACCTAGGAACTAGTTTATAAACTTATAAACTAGTTATAGATGTAAAATCTTGGGCCCCACCCTAGACCTGTAAAATTGAAAATTCTGGGAGTCTAGCCCAACAGTCTGCATTTTAGTATCTTCACAGGTGATTCTGATGCGTAATCATGTTTGAGAACCACTGGACTAAATAAAAGACAAACTGATGAGACACCGACATTATATATTACAGAAAAAATGAACAGTTCTAAACCTTGAGAGGGAGGGTTTTTTTTTTTTTTTTTTCTCTTTTCTGTGCCCTAGATCCTAGGCATGTCCCATGAACAAACTTGAATATCTATTTGTAATAGAGGATGTTTCCTCTGTTTCTGAGGAGACCACAGCAGAATCTAATAATGTCTTTGCTGGATAGTACCTTGATTGTTAAGAAGATATTCAAAGTTAAAAGTAGCTCCTGTCTGTGAAGATCATATTTTAGGGCATGTTTATGCATTCCTTGAGTTCTTCCCTTGTCTTGGAAACTTCATTCCCTCATTTTTTCCCCTTTTACCAAGAACTGCAGATTATTTGGTTAGCAATCATTTACCAAATGCACACATATGTGGACATGCACCATCTACACACACACACACAAGATTCTGCATGAGTATTTTTGTACTTATTTTCCTCACTACTAATTTGTTTTGTATATGTATTTTTTTTCACCACCATGTCATTATTTTTTTTTTCCAGATGTTTTTTCAGGTTTTGTTGAGTGTTGACCAAGATTGCTGGTGCTTTATGGTAGAACACTAGATGGAGATGCTAAATAATAAAGGAAAAGAGTCAAAGGCACTATGACTTTTTTTATTTTACGTATCTGAACTGCACATACTAAGTTTTACCTATCTGAACTGTACATATTGAGTGTTCAATATGTTCTGAGGTCACTGATCTTTTCCTTTGTTCTCCGATAAAAAAGATAAAACTCCCTTGTTGGCCAGTCTTTATGAAAGAAAAGAAGGAAACAAAAATGAGTCTATGGATGCTTTATAAATGGTAGAACAATACTGTTATGTGTGCTCAGGATATTTAAGGTGAATGAAGGAAAAATGGAAAGGAGAGGCAAATGGGGTAAAGGGAGAAAACATTTGCAAGAGGAAATGTTCACTTGGGACAAATAAAATGTGACAAGTAGAAGTTAGAAATTTGAAGACAAGAGGGGATTCTATGAGGAGGATATGGCATATATAAAAATGCATAAGTGAGACAAAGGAAACCATGTTCTAGAAGTATGTTTGGGTCTGCGTGTGTGTGAGGTAATTTTGCAATCTTTCTGGAGTTGGATTGTATTTATATTAAGGAAGTTATTTTTAATCCATGCAGTTATGAACGTAAAGGAAATAATTTAAACAGGGGAGTGATATGACCCAATTTAAGTGTTAGGTTATTATAGCAATAGAATGGTGGAGAAGTTTGAGAGACTAGAGTGGACACATATCTGTTAGGATGACATTAATGGGACAGTTGACCCTGAGTTAACATCTCTTTTTTTTTTTTCAGCCAGTTCCAGGTCCACCGACCAATCATGGTATTGTTTTCCAACAACACAGTGACCCAGGTGACTGAATTCCTAATGATCTGCTTCCCAGGGATGCAGGACGCACAGCACTGGCTGTCTATACCTCTAGCTCCTCTCCTGGTTTTGGCTCTTGGGGCCAACTTTGTGTTATTACTTGCCATCCGGCAGGAGGCCTCTCTGCATGAGCCCATGTACTACCTGCTTGCCATCCTCTCCATGCTGGATGTCATCCTCTGCCTCACAGTCATCCCCAAGGTCAGAGCCCCCCTCCCCAAACTCGCCTTCAGGCTTTCACTTGTCTTTCTCTAAAGAGCACTTTTTAAAATTTGTACATTCCCCACGCTTCAAGGAAACGCTCAATGAATCATTCACACCATTACAGCAGGTTCATCATAGCCCCTCTCTTATTTTCAGTGCCCATGCCTTTCTAAGGATTCATTCATTCTTGCTTGCCAGGCCCTCACTTGGTGTCTGAATCAATGATAGTCCCAAATTCCAGTCCTCTTCTTACTTCTAGGGAGTATCTCCTTCACTTTGCATGACCTCCACACCTACATCCAAGGACTCTAGAATTTCCTTTCTCTAATGTAACTGGATGTGTGTTTACAACATATATGAGATAACTCACTAACATGGAGTTGATTCTTACTCATAGCAACCTATTGGGCAGAGTAAACTGCCCCATAGGGTTTCCAAAGCTGTAAATCTTTATGGAAATAGATTGTCTCATCTTTCTCCTGTGGAGCAGCTGGTGGATTCACCAGCCTTTTGGTTAGCCATTGAATGCTTTAATCACTGCACCACATGATTTAAAGATATTTCTTATGTATATGGAGGAGTTGATGGGTGTTGAAATAAGTACTGCTTTTACTGGTTTTGATATTCCTCTGAATAACATTTTATGATTAGATGTTTCTAGCTAGAATTTGAATAAGAGTTCTGAAATTCAAGAAAGAACAGAGCTGAAAATCATACACACACATACACACACACACATAAAATTAAACAAAGGTTGTAGTCTGTAGATGGAATGCAAATGAGCTCCACAGTGCAGATCAAGATGCACATAGAAGGTTTTGTAATGAGGACGATGTTCTGGATGAGATTATGGGAAGGGGTTTGGAGAGATGGATGATTGAAGCCATTTGAGGGTTTTCCCCAGGGTTAAGTCCTCAAGGGAAAGAATGGATGTACAGGATTTTTGAGAACTATGATTTTGGCAGGTCCTGCTCATCTTCTGGTTCAACATGAAACCCATCAGCTTTGCGGGCTGCTTCCTTCAGATGTTCATCATGAATACCTTCCTACCCATGGAGTCCTCCACCTTCCTTGTTATGGCCTATGACCGCTATGTGGCCATTTGCCACCCACTTCGCTACCCCTCCATCATCACTGAACAGTTTGTCATTAATGCAGTTGTCTTTATTGTCTTTCGCAATCTGTTGGCCACACTGCCCACCCCAGTTCTGGCTGCCAGGCTTAACTACTGTGCCAGCAATGTGGTGGAGAACTGTATTTGTGCTAACATTTCTGTAGCAAGGCTATCCTGTGGGGATATTCACCTAAATAAGCTCTATCAGTTTGTGAGTGTCTGGTGCCTGTTGGGGTCTGACCTGGTGCTCATTTTGCTATCCTACTGCTTCATCCTGAGAGCTGTGATGGGTCTGCAGTCAAGGGGTGCAGCCACCAAAGCCTTGAGTACTTGTGGTTCCCATCTCATCCTTATACTTTTCTTCTACACGTTGCTTCTAGTCTTCATTTTCACAAACAAAGCAGGAAAGAAAGTGCCCTCAGAAGTGCCCATTCTCCTCAATGTCCTGCACCACCTCATCCCACCAGCTCTCAATCCCATAGTTTATGGGGTACGGACCCAGGAAATCAAGCAGGGGATTATCAAGCTTCTCAAATACCAGCGCTGAGACTGGATCAGAGCTCAAGGATTATGGGAGTGTGGTATTTTTTGTTGACTGTTTCATCTGAACTGCATGAGTAACAAATCCATGCTGCTACTTTCATATTGAAAACAAAACTTCTTCAACTGCTATCACAACATTTACTCTATCACCTCTACAAATTCTTATTGATCCCACCTTTAATATCCATTATCTTCTTCAAATGACTTCTTGCCCTTACTAGTTCCCAAATTACTCAATAATTAAAGAAGTGTTCAACACCTTCCCTGTAATTCTCAGTCTTTATATATTGAGTGCCTCTTATACAGACTTCATACAGCAGGTATAGTGCAGAGAGAAATGGGTAGGGTCAGAGAAACTAGTGAGGATTTCATCTCAATAATACAGATAAGAAATGATAATGGCTTGAACTGAAGAAGTGAGAATTGAAGTTATAAGTCACAACATGGCAAGAGATTCCATATTTAGGAACAGAAGATGGAAGTAAGTAAAGGATATGACCCAGGATTTTAGTCAAGAGTAACTGGAAGAATATAGTTGCTGTAAAATGAAGAGCTAGTTTGATACAGAATATTAAAAGTTCAGCTTTGGACACTGAATTCCACTTCAATACAAAATGTCTTCCAAATTGTACTTTTGAAGTAACTAATAAATACTCAAATAAAAAAGTAAGCAATTGGGGATATGATGCTTATCAGGAGTGATGTTGAAGCTGAAGTCAGAAATTTGAGTCCTAAGGATATAAATGGTATTGAAATCTGATTTAAATTTTGAGTCTTTATCTAAATGACAGCACTACTTATTGATAACATTTCATGTTGTGGGTTCAGCAAATATATGAAAAACTATGCCATTTTTATAAGAACAAAGCATTCATTAACAAAATTCAGCAGAACAATGGGATTCCTATATTCAAAATGGAAGCTATCATTCTAAAGGAAAATTCAAGAAGATTCGCAGTAAGGTGTAATGTAATACTTAGTCAATGAAAGGAAGGAAACGTGAAACCATTTCACAAGGGGTTGAATATTCTATTCTGTTCTCTGAGCTCTGGTTCCTGGAATCCCTAGTAAAGTATGGGGAGGATGGTGATTGTTTCATGGCCCTTTGTCTTTCCTACATCTGGAGTCAATGGCTGTACCCCCAGTCAGATTGAATCATCTATATTTGACTCAGCTTTGCCTCTAGCCTTGTCTGGTCTAGGACTGATGGAAGATGAATCCACGTCACCAATCAATGTTTGTGGCAGATGTTTTAGTTTTGAGCCATCATTTGTATTATATTTACCCAAGACACAATGGAGCTGTGGTGGTGGAGTGGATAAGGCATTGGCCTCTAACCAGAAGGTCAGTGATTCAAACTCACCAGCCACTCTGTGGAAGGAAGATGGGGCAATCTACTTCTGCAAAGACTTACAGCCTCAGAAACCCAATGGGGGTCACTATGCATCAGAATTGACTCAATGGCAGTGAGTTTGTTTTGAGATATAATATCCCTGTGTCGTAGCATTCACTCTCTGCTATGGCTCTGACCTGAGTTCCCATTTCAGTGTTCTGCCTTGATTGTCAAACTTCTGCTAGGCATGTTCCCTAATAGTCAGCTCTTCGTAGCCAGACATCCTTTGTCAGTGCGAAATCAGAGGGCTTTCTACCTACAGTCACATCTCCTCAGTGGCTACTGCCTTGGATTTCTACCTCAGCCATCCCCTGTCCATATCCTACCCACCAGTTGGCATATCCATTGCTTCTTGAATGTGTTCGGGTTCTAGGCTTAGGCCACCAACTTTCTGTTCCATATAAATGGAACTGTTTCCTCCTTTATGTTCAAATTATTGATTCCTCAACATTGATAATCTTAGTTTAAAAATCACTTTCACATAGAGTACCAAACAAACAAACAAAAAAAAACAAACCCATTGCCGTTGGGTCAATTTTGACTCATAACAACCTTATGGAGCAGAGTACATCTGCTCCATAGGTTTTCCAGGGCTGTATATCTCTACAGAAAACTGCCATATCTTTCTCCCCCAAAGTGGGTCATTTCAAAGCCCCAAGATTTGGTTCACAGTTGAGCGCTTAACCACTGCACAACCAGTGCACCTCCTGTAGAGAGGAAAACCAAACTCACTGCCATCGAGTCTGTTCTGACTCATATTGACCCCCATTGGGTTTCTGAGTTTGTAAATCTTTATGGAAGTAGTTTGCCTCATCTTCCTTCCATAGAGAGGCGAATGGGTTCACCAACCTCCTGGTTACAGTCAAATGCCTTAAGCAATGTGCCACCAGAGCTCTTTCACATAGAGAGTTGTTATTGTTGTTGTTATGTGCTGTTGAGTTGGACCCAACTCATAGCGACCCCTCCTTGGGTTGCTGAGGCAGTATCCCTACAGAGGTAGATTGCCCAACCTTCCTTTCAAGGAGTGGCTGGTGGGTTTGAACCTCCAGCCTTCTGGTTAACAGTCAAGTGCTTTAAACACTATGCTACCAGAGCTCCTCACATAGAGAGTAGTACCTCCTTAATAAATCACATCACAAGTGGTCTCCTCTCCACTTCAGGTCACACTAATACATTATACTGTCTTATTCATTACAGTATTTATAACTTTCTGAAATTATTTATTTATAGATTAAAGTATTCAATGTCTTGAATTTTGCTCCAGAATATACATGGACCTTTGGTTTTTTTTTTTTTTTTTTGCTATTCTTAGCACCTAGAATGCCTGACACATACCAGGTGTTGAACATATAGGAGATAAAAGTCCAAAAATTTAGTTCATAGGGCCACTGCCATGCTTCGTAGGACTCTCTGGAATACTCTACTGGATACATCTCCAATGACAGTTGAAATTCCCCTGCAGACATCTGACTGATACCTAGAAGAAAAGATAGAAGAATCTGTAATACCTGTAATGTTTAAGTTTGTGAGGCTGAGGCCAGAGTCCTAATAGCCTCCAGAGAAATCTTTAACCAGAAACCTTTTAGTGTCAGGGATTCTAACAAGTCTTTTAATGTTTAGGATTCTAAACACTCTTCAGGGCCTTTATCTACCCTCCGGACTCAGCAGGTATCAGAGACTTCCTCCGGACTCAGCACACATCAGAAAAGTCCTCCAGATTCAGCGCATACCAGAGATCTGCTCGGCTCCTGAAGTCTTCCACATACCAGGGCTCTGCATCCTCCCTAGATAATAATTCCCTGAGTAGACTTTGGAGCCGGGGGATTCCAACACGTTCCCCAACATCTCAGATCTCTGCCCTAAACCCCTTAGCAACAACCAATCATCTGTACCCCTTTGCCCTGGTGCTACTCCACCCCATATTTTTCTATAAAAATGTGACATTAATGGAGCACAAGGTCTTTTGCTAATGTCACTACGTTGGCAAGAGCAGGGACCCTAGCTTGAGCTAGCAAATAAACTTTCCTTTTGTATTTGCATTGTCGTGTGTTGGCAAATTCCTCGCGCCGGCCGAACAACTCCTTCATAACCTGGGCCCAACAAGTTATTAACAAATCCTTAATTTTAAGTTACTTCATGGTCAGAGTAGTAGATTTTGTTATAGGAGCAAACACGGGTCCCTGCCTGGTGCGCAGACAGGCTAAAACAGTTAACACACCGAGATTAAGAGGAGAGAAAATTATTTATTGCAAAGCGGCAATGCAAGGAGTAGGGGTATCCTCGAACCCAGATCTGACTCCCTGAGATGCCATCGAAATACAGTTTTTGTAGGTTTTAGGAGAGGGGATTATGCATATTCACAAAAGGTTGAGAAATTTGGGGTGTGAAATGGTTGGGTATTGCACCTGGAGGCAGATGAGTCACACCAGCTTCCTGTCTTCAGCTGACAGGGGCTTGGGCAGAGGGGAGAGGGTCAGTTCCCATTTATTTGTTCCTTTCTGCCTTACTGAGCATGTCTGCAGGCCAGAGATAATTTACAAGTTGTTTTCTAAGACACTTTTACAAGTCTATCACGTACAGGAAAGAATGTTTTCCTTCCATTCAGTTCTTTAAGGAACTGAATTCTCATCTACCTGGGGTGGGGAAATAGTTGGGGTAATTTAGTTTACTTATCTATCACATGTGGTCTTATCTAATTATCTGTCTTAACCAGGGTGGGGGAATTGTTGGTGGTAATTTAGTTTACTTATCTATTCCTATCCTGTATGGGGTGGGGGAAATAGTTTTCACTTTACTCAGTTTCAATTTCAATTCAACATTTTTATTGAATGTTAGAATATAAAGCATTACAAATATCTTAAGTCTTCCCTAATTTTTTTGGAAATTAAAATACTACAGTACAAAATCAGCTAATTTTAAATACTTGTACACAAAATTGTGAAAATCTGTTTAAGCAAGATTTAAAATTTAGATAAAAATATGATGTAATTGTTTCCTTTATAATAAACTCTTTACAATAATGATAATTGCTTATCCTAATGCTAAGATTCCTTTTTTTTTTTTTTGTTAGATGTCCTCGAGTTGGCTCTGAGTCATAGCAACTCCATGTACATCAGAATGAAATACTATCTGGTCCTGGGCCAGCCTCCCAATATTTGCCATACCTGAGCGCATCAATGCAGCCACTGTGTCAATCAATCTAATTGAGGGCCTTCCCCTTTTTCTCTGATCCACCACTTTACCAAGCATGATATCCTTCTCCAGGGAACGATCCCTTCTGACAACTTGACCAAAGTAGGTGAGACGAAGTCTGGACATTCTCACTTCAAAGGAGCATTCCGGCTGCACTTCTTCCATGACAGATTTGTTAATTCTTTTGGCAGTCCAGGGTACTTCTTAGTCACTAATAAAAACTAATTAAATATCACTTTATCCCCTCCTTAGGCTTATATATATTCCTGGATTGAAATGTGATTCATCTTCAGTTCTGTCATTGCAGTATTATGGGTTTGTTTGACTTGCTTTTATATGCCATTTCCAGTATTTTAGCAAAAAAAAGTAATGTAATCATTCAATTGTCTAACTCCTTAGCTTCTTTTTCTCTCTGCTGC